CTACCGACCTTCCCCATCACAGATGACGACAGCGTCTACTGCGATGCGGACGTACGGCGCGCGCTGAGGCGGACGGAGCAAGTGTGTTGGCAAGACCCGCCTCGGGCTTGTGAGATAAAGGGGAACGGGTTTGTGTTGTTTGATCGTTTTGATTCCCCGACTCTAATATTGCCGTATACGGGTTTAACGGTGTTGCCCTGGTCGGCCGCAGTTTGATTGTCGCTGGTGTCGCCAGGGGGACTCGTGTTCTTGGCGACGGCTGGTTCTTGGTTACGAGGAAGCGACACGTTTCCCCGAGCTTTCCCGTAGTGCGGGGGCGCTGCCCGCGCAATTTCGAATTCAGATGCCGGCGAGTCCTCCCGCCGCTTTGCCCTCCCGGAAACTTTCACGCGGACTCTGTGAGTCCGACACCGAGGCTTGAAGGCCTCGAACCAATCACCTCCACAGCAAAGACCCGAGGGTTCGGCCACCTTGTGAGGCCGATGATGAGGCCTGAGGGCTTCGAACCCGCCACCTACCTCCCCAAACCCCTGACGGCTGAAGTCTTATCTTCCGCCGCCATGGCCCTCTCCCCTTGATGCCTTTTCCCGTCCCGATGCACGACGGCAGTTCGTTTTTGCGGAAACCTTTTTGATTTTATCGTTTCGGAGTGATCCGACCCCCACTGGACTCCTCGACGACAGTTCGACTCCGAGAAAAACCTCGGCCACGAAACGAGGGCCTCCCGTTCCGTCCGGGAGACTCAACCCTTACGGCCAAAAATCCTCGGCCACGCCCCTCCTAGAACTCTGATCGACGACCGCGTACGGGAAGCCGCGAGGGGGCGTGAGGTTGGTATCAGAGCTGATTCGTTTCGGCTCCGAGGTTTTCCTAGGACGATTACCCTGTTTTTAAGTTTTTCTTTTTCTGATCTTTCTTTTTGGATTTTTCTCATTTTTGGGAGTAGGCTGGCTCCCCGTCGACGGAGGCCCGCGAATGGCAATCAGAACCGAGCGAGAGGCCGGGCTCGAAACCCGCCTCCCGCGATAGTGGAACCCGGAATTGGGGGTGAAAACGACGGTGATAATCACGCGGGGATGGCCAATCATCCCCTGTATTTTGTACCTCCTCCCTCTGAAGTTCCCATTTTTTCTGAAGATGACACCGACCCTCGCACCTGGCTAGCCGCCTTGAAAGCCCAGGGCTGGTCGGATCAGTTGCTCCGAGAACGAATTCCCGGAAGATTAGCCGGAACCGCTTTTGAGTGGTATGGACAAAATCCCTTCACTAATTGGGCAGCCTTCCAGAGGAAATTTCTCGATAGATTTTATCACATCGCACCAGGTCAATGCCTCCGTTTAATAAAGGAATACACACAGCAGCCTCGGGAGACCTTGGCCAGATATGCTGAACGTTTTACGTACTTAGCCGAACGCTCCGGGGTGGACGAGAAAATGGTACGGACTGATTTCGTTAGAGGACTGTCAGATTCTCGTCTACGGAGAAAGATCCGCAAGAAATGCAACCCTATAGAACATACCCTAACAGAGCTAATTCGGTACGCAATTAAGTACGGGAAAGAAAATTACGATGTGGGCCTGGACTCAGAATCCGACGAAGATGACCCTTCGGGGGTTCGACGCAATAGCTACTCCGCTATGGCACGAATGTTCGAAGATCGCTTCGGGTTGGGTCCGACAAAAAAGGGCGTGGATCGGAAAGCTTCTTCCTCTGCTTCGGCCTCCCGTCGCCCTAGTCAAGCACAAGGAGGACGGGGTGAGGAAGAAGTGTCCATGAAGGAGGTCGCGACACAATTAGTTACGGTAGTGGCTTCGTTGACGGAGTTTGTTCAGGGCCTGCAGCGGCAATGCCTAGCCGCCGCACAACGGCAACAAGCGGCTATGGCCGTCGGGACCCCTATGATAAGACCGGCCGCGGCCGGGGCTGTCCAGTCCCTACGCTGTTATAATTGCAATCAGCCATGCCACCTTGCGAAAGATTACCCGAAACCTCGAGCTCAGGGTGGGCCCGCTGGGCCTTCCCAAATCCCGCTGGCTGCTCCAACCGCTGCAGGACAGCGGAGGGTGGCCATGATGATGGATACCGGGGCAACGGAAATGGTGACCCCTGTGGCCACCGAGATAGGGCCCGATGAATACATGGCTGCGGCAATGTTCGAACCCGGGACCATCGGAGTGATACGTCACGTCCAACGAATTACCGAAGAAAGCGACCTCAGGCCGTGGCGACCAGGGTTCGAAGACCTTGCGGCGCCTGGCCCTGAATACAAGGATGGCCATATCGACGTATTGGATGCCTTGAAGGCTCTAGATCTTTGGATCCCAGTCCCTATTCCCTATCTGCTAACCATTTCCGAAGCGGCTAACGAAAAGTTGATCGAACGGTGCCTCAAAAACAGGCGCCGATTCGAAGAAAGTCGAAAGGGCGAAAAGCCAGTCCTACGGGACCTACCCACAAACGAGGAGCCGCAGCCCTCAACCTCAAAGGTGCACGAAGCCGACCGGATAGGAATGATCCAGACCGTAGACTCTGCCTCAGAAAAACCCGAGGTATTCCTCCGAGCCTATCCTATAACCTGGAAAAGCGTTGAATGTGACTGCGAGGTCTCGGGAAATCCCTCGGCCGCCATCCTAGACTCAGGATCGTCGGCGGTCGCCATTTCTTGGAGATTGACGAAACAGTTGGGAAGGGAAGGACAGGTTCAGCCCCTCCGACCAGATGATTTGTACATGTCCGCTACGGAAGACAGTATTTATTGTAAAGGGCATATAACAAACGTGCCCATACGGGTGGGGCGGGTGCATTGTTTGTGAGACGTAATCGTGTTGGATGTACAGGCGTATGATGTTCTGCTAGGCATCCCGTGGCAGGCGGCGGTCGGAGCGCGAATGCACTTTGACAGCTGTAAGGTGGCCCTCACATCGGCCCACCCCAAACCCCAAACGATACCAATGAGATTGGCGGTGCGCATGCGCACCCAGCCGGCGCCCCGCCTCACTACGAAAGCCCATCAAATCAACATGATCCGACGCCTCTCACCAGACGAAAACGAACCCTCGACGGAAACTGACGAGACTGATGCACCCGACCGATATCCGATCCGAGTTCAGGATCGGTGGCGCCATTCTTGGCGGCGAGAACCACTGGAAATAGTTCGGAGCCAGTCCAATTGGTCACACGCGTTCTCCTCCGTGGTGCAGGGGGAGCCCCTGCTGAGGGTGTCCCGAATAGCTGACCTTTCGGAACCCCCTGCGTTCTTATATCTCAGGACGGACCCCCTACCTGAAAGATTTACCGAGATGAGGGGGCTGTGCGATCTATCTTTTCGACCTCCACGACCCCTACTCACGAATGAAAAAACCGCGATACTCTTGAAAGAAGTGTCATTTCAACCCAGGACAAGGGAATATCGGTGGGGACCGAGGGAACTGGAGCAGGCCTTTTCGGTAGAACCTCGGCCGAACCCGAACAGGACAGTGACAGTGACATGGAAAGCGAGCCGATAAGCCCGGCGGACAGTCAACTTATCGCAACTGTCCTTTCGACAAAAACCGACAACTCTTTGTTTGGGGCCTCGCCCAATGCCAGCGCGGCAGTCCCCATTGTTACGACGACGGTCTCCCTTCCTGGGGAAACTGTGGAAGTTCAGTTGCCAACCCGTGTTCCGGATGAATACAGACGCCTCCTCCTGGCGGTCATACGGGCCTATCCTGAGGCCGTCAGTATTCAAGACCACGACATAGGACTAACCCCTTTGATACAGCACGCGATTGATACCGGGGATCACGCCCCGATACATTGCCGACCGTACCGATATTCCCTTAAAGAAAGGCAGTTGGCGTTGGAAAGGGTACGAGAATTCGAGCGGTTGGGGTGGGTCGAACCATCGCTGGGACCTTGGTCTTTTCCCGTGGTCCTCGTGCCAAAACGAAATGGTTCGGTCCGGATGTGTATCGACTACCGGAAATTGAACGCTATCACTACCAAAGATGTGTATCCCTTGCCGCGAATCGACGATTTGTAAGATGCTATCGGGGCCGCTCGAGTCTTTTCCAAGTTCGATATCCGACACGATTTTCACCATGTCGCAGTCCGACCGGAGGACCGACCCAAAACCGCTTTTGTCCTATTCGAGGGCACGTGGCAATGGGTCCGGTGTCCCATGGGAATTTGTAACGCACCCGCAACGTTTCAGCAGGCCATGAATATGGCCTTTGCTGAGTTCGTTAACAAAACCCGATTAACCCAGCCCCTGATCAATTTCTGCGTGATTGTGTACATGGATGATATTTTGGTATTTTCAAAAACACACGAGTACCACGTGGAACACATTGAGTGGGTGTTGCATGCACTGAGAGCTGCGGGGTTCAAAGTGGCCTTGGAAAAAAGCGAGTTCTTCTTGTCGGAGATCTCATTCTTGGGGTACATCGTCACGGTCGATGGACTAAAACCGGATCCGAGGAAGGTGGCAGCAGTTCAAGAAGCCAAGGCGCCGGTCACACTCACCCAAGTTCGGGCTTTTCTAGGGTTGGCGTCCTATTACCGACGCTTCATCAAGGGGTTCGCCGGTATAGCGAAGCCCCTCACGAACCTGCTGAAGAAAGAGGAGCAGCTGATCTGGACGTCGGAATGCGAAGCGGCGTTTCAGGCGTTGAAGGAGGCTCTGACATCTGCTCCTGTGTTGACGCGCCCCGACCCAACAAGACCGTTCGCACTGTACACAGACTGGCAGCCTCAGGCGATATCGGCGATGCTGACTCAGCACGGGAAGGACAGAAGGGATCACGTCATTGAGTATGCGTCCAAGACGCTAAGCCAGGCGCAGGTTAATTACGAAGCGTGCAAAGGTGAATGCCTGGCGGTGGTGTGGGGGATCCACCATTTCCGACGGTATCTTTACGGCCAGAAATTCGTGCTGGTAACGGATCATCAGCCGCTACTGTCCCTACGCAACAACACGGACTACACGGGGACGCTGGGCAGGTGGGCGGTGCGTCTGCAAGACTATGACTTCGACATCCGCCACCGTGCCACGCGGCAGCATGGTAACGCCGACGGATTGACGCGCCTCCTGCTGCCCAACAAGTGTCCCGCCAACGAGCGACTCATTCCGTGGAGGCCAGAAGTCGCGGCGACGAAACCGCACTACGGGGAGCTACACGTGCTGCGCAAGAACGACGCCTGAGTCCGGAATGGAGGTCTCGCCGGAGATGGCAGTCGCGATCTCTTTGCCCCCATCCAACTCCCTTGCTCTCTCGTCTAGTCCCTACTCGTCCCCTGAAACGCATCTAAATCCCTGTTTCTTCTGTACTTTGCCTATGGTCCCGGACTAGGAAGGGTCACATCCGGGAGGGCCCAATTTTCTTTTATGGGTACAGTGTAGTCGGTGTCATACGGTCAAATCTCACGGACAGTGCGTTAGGTACCGAAGTGAAAAGACATGGGTCTGTCCCAACTGTAGAACGGACCAAGTCCCTACCGAGAAGCGGTATCTGGACGCCAAAACAGCCGACGGATTTGCGCCAAGTGCCCGCCGGTCAGAAGCCTGGACGGACCTTCTGTTGCTACGGAGGCTGTCAGGCGACTCGCTGTCAGAACTTACTAAAGCTGAGAGACGGAGAGTCACGGAGCGAGCGCAGGACTATCGTTGGCAGGGACCGACGTTACAAAAACGAAAAGTCGATGATGACGGAGGGTCTAGCTGGTTGACGGTTCCACACCCTCTCGCTAGGTTCGATTGGACACGAACCGCTCATGAAGAGGAATCCGATGCGGTCCGCTTCACGGTCAAGTACACGGAAAAAGCCATAGAAAAGAACGGATGGTACTGGTCGGGAATTCGGGAAGATGTGAAATACATCGTTCAAAATTGCCCGGCCTGCGCGGCGGACAAGGCGCCGGTACAGATGCCTCGGACGATGGTGCCCACTCGTGTAGAGCGCCCCTTTCAGAGGGTTAGCATCGATACGACGGATATCAACGTTCCGAGAGGTCCCGTTGATTAAGGAGAACTCAATGTTCTTTTAGTAGCCGTCGATCATTTTTCAAAATGGATCGAGGCGTACCCTATGACCAGCCAGAATTCGCAGGAGGTAGCCTGGTACGTAAACCGATTTTTGTGCATGCATCGAGACGTAGAAGAGGTACACATGGACAATGGTCGGAATTTCAAGGCGAAGTAGAACGTCACCTAGTCAGGGCGGACGTTGAGATTATCTACTCGCCGGGGCATTGGCCTCAAGCCAATAGCCTGGTAGAGAATGCCAACCGACTGATTAAGATCGTCCTTAGACGGAATATCACTGCGGGCGACACCCAGCCCTGGCCGGTCATTGTCGACCACATCTTGGCCGTTTATCGAGCTACCCCACACGGTAGTACCGGGGTGTCCCCCTTTCAACGGAGAACCAATAGTGACCCTCGAGTGCAATTGTCCCCCTTAGTAGGTAAAAAAGTTAGAGCAACACGGGCCCAGAACCGAGATAAGGCCCGCCACTACATGGACTTAATGGCTAGGGCCTATCCCCCGTTAGCCCGCCGTCGACAGCAGGCCGTAGATCGGACACATCAACGGCAGATCCGTGACTACGAGAATCGACACGCGTCGGCGGGRCCACTGCCCCGCTATAAAGTTGGGGACTTGGTGCAGGKACGGAAATCTGCGCGCTCCTCCAAGATCCACCCGCGCTACACAGGCATTTATGAAGTCACGGAAGTTGGCGCACAGGGACAGCACTCTGTGAAGCTGATTCCCCGTCACAACTCCCGGCCCTTCCAACCATCGCTAGGTCCCCTACGGATCCCCGCTCCTGCGAGATCACCCTCTCCTTCTTCATCCTCCTCCTCTTCCCGATCTGCCTCGTCCATTGGTGCTGAGAGTGTTAGGGAGCAGGATGAACCATCGCCAGCCGGAGCATGAGCCCCTCGAGCATTTCCAGACGCCGCTTGCAGATCGCTTGTTGCAGCATCGGTTCAAAGAGGAAAGGCAGCTGCGGTATGACATTCAGCAGGTGAACGTGCCAGCGCCCGGGACTGCTGATTTGGCGGCGTACTCATTGCTTTGCGATCGGCTGACGTATGCGGGGGTGTACGTGGACGTGACGCAATTGCCTGGCCGGGAGACGACTCGAGTGCTCATCGAGTTCCGCACGCTCCAGGTGGCACCCAACTTCGTGCAGAGCGTCGCCACTTTTATCGGAGACTTGACGATCCTGCCGCAGCCGAACCGGGAGACGGCGCGAAGCTTTTTGCGCGATTACGCGGTGGAAGCGGCCAGATCAGTGGCCAGATTGCAAGGACGGGGGGGGCATCGATTCACAGCCCACAAAGTGCTACTGCGCAGGGCAAAGGACGGACCGATTGCGTTGGTGTCGCAGCTCCCCGCGCTTCTCCCTCCCGCTGCTCCTCTCAACCTCCAAGCTATTCCCCCTATACTAAATGCCTCCTTTCTTCTCCTACACCACCCTCCCCTACCAGCTCACGGAGGGCCCTTACCCCATGTGCGAGTTCTCGGAGTATTTGGTGGAGCTAACTGACGTGGAGCCGCTGCCCTTCGCTGACGAAGACGCGTGGGAGTTGCACCGTGCGCTGTACAAGTCGGTGGTGCTGGGGATGTTCCGGTTCTTCGTGGATCACGAAGATAACGCTATCGGGGAGCACTTCGTCGTTTACTACGTCATCACGCGGCCCAAGCCAGCGGAGAAGGAAGGGATGGTGGCGCTGTACCCTTTCGCCCAGCTCCAGGCAATCGATCCGGGATTGTTGGAGCTCATACACCTTGAGCTCCTCTCCATTGCGCAGGTGATCGCGAGCGAGGAGGAGGAGATCTAACCGCGATTGCGGACGGCGACGGCCCCACGGAGAACGTACAACGCGGTCGTCATCCCGAATTACATTGCGCAGCGCGCGGAGAGGTTGAAGGACTTCCCGGAGGAAAGGCCGTTGCGGCCTCCCTCGTCGTATCCCCGACCGGCGCCACTGAAGGCCCCCAAGAAGACGCCGAAGAGGAAGAGACGCCACCCATCGCCAGGGGCGCAAGGCAGCAGGATCGGCAGCGGCGAGGAGGTGATTCAGTCCGCACGTCCGCGGAACCCGGACCCCGTGCCTGGGAGTGCGGCGACGCTTGTTAAGGAGGCTGTCGTGCCATCGCCGCCCTTTCCGCGTGTGCCCGATCCCAATCTTGATGGAGTCGGGCCATCATCATCAGCAGCAGCCGGAGGAGGAAGCCGAATGGGATTACCGGATCCCATATCCAGACCCCCCGTCCTCGCGGGACCTTTCTGTTCCCGCCAGCCACCCCGGGGTGCCCCGGTCATTGACATTAGTAGTTCATCCGAGCCGGACGTTCCATCCGACAGAGGTGGACTTCATGGTGGAGCCCGCCACCATCAGGCTCGAGGCCATCGCGGGGGCGCAGCACCCTGATCCGGCGTGGGAGCCATATCTGACACCCCCTTTTCAAGGGTGTATTACGGCGCGATTGGCTGGGACGCTCATCTACGAGACCGCGCAGCGTCCCAATGCGATGTACCACTTCCTTGTCTTCGCGGCGCAGAAGCGGGAGCGGCGGCCTTACACCGAGACTCATGTGGTGATGACGGGTCTAGGGCCCCGATCGGTGCGCAAGCGGGTGGTGCGAGCGGTGGCGGATCTGGCGCCACGTGTCCTATCTCATGTGTCGGGGGCTTTCCTTTACCCCTCGTTCGTCCAGCATCACTTCCATGAGGAAGATGCGCCGACGACTCCCGCAGCAATGGCCGCTTTTCTTCCACCTATTCCGCCCCCTCTCAATCCCGACATAGATCACTTCCTCTGATCACCCTCGTCTATCTCTCCCCTGTTCTCTCCTTCTCCTTCTCTTCATCTCCCTCTTCTTCTCCTATCTCCAAAGTTCGCGCGTCGAGACGCGCTGTATATATATATATAAAAAAAATAAAAAATAAAAATCTTACCGATCGGGCCAGCTGACGATGAAGGGGCCGCCCGATCGAATGTATACGGTGGGAGGAGGCGATGGAGGATGCGGGATGCATCCACGTAGATTAGGAAGATGATCGGGCCAACTCACGATGAAGAGGCCGTCCGATCATCCAAGATATGATGACATCAGCAGTCGGGAGACTGCTAATTTTTTCGGAACCCCCTGCGTATCACAGATGTGATAAGCTCTGATCCGTACCGCGCGGCTTGCCGTATCCCTAAGGAAAAATCCCGCGGAAGCCCCGAAGTACGGACACGGACAGAAAGGGGTTTTTCTTTCTTTTTGCTTTTGTTTTCTTCTTTTTGAAACGGCTTTTTCATTTTGTTTGGTTAATAACTTCCGCGCGGGCGAATAGCGGCCGCGGTATGAAAACCAAGAAACGGATGCGGTTGGGACTTTTTGAATTTTTACGGGCGCACGCTCAAGCTCCGATTTCTTCGCGCGTCTCTCATCCCCGTTTCTTGCTTTCCATCCTCGCGCCATCTTCCCTTCTTGCTGCGCTCGTTTCCCTCTAGTTGGACTGTTCGTCTTCCCCTACGCCCAGCTTGATCCTTCCCCCGTCTTCCTCCGCGAAGTGATTGGCTGCGTAGTTGGGATGCTCGGATCAATGTGGAAAGCGGGAAACCGCGCACCACTTGGACGAACACCCCAATCACGTAGCCAGGCAATCCCGCGGGTCGAACCCTCTCTCTCCTGTCCTGCTCATCTACACCCTGCGCTGCCCACACCTCGCACTGTTAACCTGCCGCCTCCCGCGCTATAAATTTGCGCAACCCTCTCCTCTCCTCCTCTTTGATCTCGGCTGCAATGCTGCCTGTGTAACCGGTTGAACGCCGTGAACGCGCGTTCAACCCCCCCAACCCCGCGTTCAATCGCGTTTAAACGCGCTACGCGCGAAAAAATTGAACAAAGTCCCGCGGAGCGCGCGCGCGCGACTGGGGCTACGGGGTGGTGGTCCGAGTTCAACAAACCACCAAAGTGCGAAAACCGCCCCCCGGGACCACCTGATACCACCCCCCCGCCCCGCGGTCCCCAGCCCCGAAACCGCCACGTGCCAAGCCCCGACTCCCCCTCCCCCCTGAGGACATTTTTTTATTTTTTTTTTCCCCGCCCACAATTACAACCCCCCAGACCACGCCACCCATTTACACACACACACAGACTGACACACACACACACATATACACGCACATGCACACACAAATTCACACTGTCGCACACACACGGGCACTATTTTTTTCGCCAACACGTACAACCCCCCAAACTGCGCCACCCATTTACACAAACAAATACACACACACATAATCACATTCACACACACACACACACAAACTGCGACCTTTCTTTTATTTTTTTTTCCAAAATTTCTGTTTTTTTTTTATTTTTTTTATTGGCGCAAAACAAGTGGTTAGAGAAATTTAAAAAAAAAGGGTTGCAAGCAAAAAAAAAAAAAAAGG